GACGATGGGCTTTTTTTGTGTGGATATTTTATTACATAGGTTTTACATAGGTTACTCTTTGGAATTGTCTAAGTTTGGTAGACACTGTTTGTATGAATATAATGTTTTTATGTTTCTTAACTATATTGTGAGGGCCCTTTGGGAGCAAAGGGGCAGATAGATCATTACGGTCTTAGGAGAATGGCACTGCGAACTGATCTGGCTGACGCTCAGCACTCAGGGGAAGAATGAGACGGATATACAGACGGTAACTGGTACCATCGGAAGTGGAACTCTTTGCTTGCTGCTGAAGATAGGGGACTGAGCACTTATTGGAGTGTCCCGAGTGATGTGATATTGATTCTTAATTCAACATTCAATATGTTTCTTAGCTGTCATACGTATGGTTAGATCTTACTATGTGCTGGAAACTTGAACAGTGTGTTACCAGCTGGCATGCTGTATACTAGCTGACCAATAATAGATATGCAGCATGTACTCAATGTTTGTGGTCACTGTTAGGTCCAGCGGAAGCACTGGCTGATATTTTGGTCATTAACTAATAAACAATGGCTAACATACTGGACACAGATAATCTGCTGGTGATTTATTAGATTGTTGCACGATTATGAAATATCTTCTAAGCAATGACGGAATATGGCGCGCACAGTTAAAAACAAAATTGCAGTGGTGAAGTCACATTTAGCATGGAATATGTACTCTCTGAACCGAAACTTTGGATGGCACAAGCTGAAGACACAATTGGACATGTTTGCAGGCTTGTTAAATTTGAGCGAGGAGAGGAGTGGGTCAAGGTGTCCGAACAAGTTTCCGACTTGTTTAGGGTTCTAATCACTTCAGGTCGTGAGTGCAGAGACTGGCCAGCTGGTGCTGCAGAATCAGAAGCTTAACAAATGATTAATGACAATTCCCGCCCAAGTGATGTGTTTATCTGTACAGATGGTTCTGTTTGAGGGGCAGACGAAGTGCATGGGGGTTCATAGCAAATGCGAATGGACATCACTTATTGCAGCAAAACCTTTCATATGATATCACAATGTCTAGTTTGAGAACGGAGGTGGAGGCAGTCTCTGCTGCCTTCCACTAGCTTGAGAATCAGCTGAACACACATGCTGTTATTGTAACTTACTCACAAAGCATGTTAAGGAAGGTGATGATAGGCATGCTTCGTGCAGAGTGGCAAGCATCACTTCAGAGATACCAGGTAGTTAGCATCCTTTGGATATTTTATCCAGGTTTTGCCGGTGTGTTGGGAAATGAGCAGACATAGACTGGCTGGCTTGGTGGTGAATTGATAAATGACAAGCTAGATATTGTGAGGGCCCTTTTGGAATGAATGAACAGTGTGGAGGCGCAGATAGATCATTACGGTCTGAGGAGAATGGGGCTGCGAGGAGTTACCAGGGGATCTGGCTGATGCTCAACATGCAGGGGAAGGATGAGATGGATGGTGCCATCTCGGAATCGGAACTCTTTGCTTGCTGCTGAAGATGGGGGTGGAGCTCTTTCGGGAGTGTTCTGAGTGTTCCTATCTGATAGCTCTGAATTGTAAATGTGGCCGATGTGGGGATCATTTTGCTTGCCACCGTAAACTTGGATGGCACCACCTTACCTTTTTGGACAGACTTCTTGATCACTGTGGCTTGAATTGCATGTTGCGCCATTCGACCATGCAGTCAAGCCTCTGCAGGATAAGTCGTGCATCACTTTCTTGGTCTGAGGTAGTCATGTCATCAATAAATGCTGTAAGTGGTAGCATCCATCTAACACAACCTGCATGGCCTGGACAAACAGTATCAGAGAAATTGTACACCCATTGCTATCCCAACCTGAAGCTAAGTCCATCTCGTGGGGGTGGAGTAGCATACCTTGAATTTAGAAAAGTACTGCTCGATGATAGCAACGATCTCTACCGGGACGTGAAACATGCGAAGGGTCTGCCATAATAGCATGTGGAATACTGACCCAGGTCCAGCCAAATCATATGCAGATCTTTCTTCTCTACCTTTACTCTCAGAATACTCTTCCAGATCATGGACACATGCTCAAGACATCTGAGGATGCCTAGAATACCCCCTTCTGAACCCATGTGTCTATATGTACTTGTTTTGCATTAAGTACTTCAAGAGTCTGCATGCCATAACCAAGAAGAATATTTATGATCTCACTGAACATGAGTTAGCCTGATGCAAATCACAAGAACCGGCGTAATGCTGACCACATTACCCACAGAGTGCTGATGGTCTGTAAAAATATGGGACGCTCTGCCCATATGCCCGATGCGCCGAAAGGCGTGAAAAGGGATCTTTACTTTACTTTTACTTTTTAAATCACAAGAACTGTTCAAGATTAAAAATTTATTTCATATTCCTTTTAGAACAATAGGTTATAGGGAACTTTCCCACTTTTTGATCACTAAGCATGGCATAGCTAGAATTACAATAAATTCAAACACACATACATACATACATACATACATGCATGCATGCATACAGACATATAGACATAAACATACAAACACACATACGTACGTAAATATATACATACATATGCGTGCATGCATTTATGCATACATCAGTATACGTGAATTAAGTCAGTTAGGCCAAAAACAATGATTACATTTATAAAATATGTGCATAAGTGGTTAGTATTGGATAGGAGAAACCAAGATATAAATAAAAGTAAACAATGAGAGTAAACACATGGGATTGCCCTGTACGTTTCCCTGTCCAAAGGCTGAGGGATCCATCAAAATTCATCGCAGAATTACAGTCACAGGAGTAAACAGTTTAAGAATGGTCATTGTTAACTTATCCCTGGTAGGGATTAATAGGATCAAATCATACACGACTGCCTGAGACCAAATAGTAACTTTAGCCGATAGTGTTCTGAATCTAGGGTGCACGAAGCTACCCCTCTACTACCTGTCTTGGTCGAAAATAAAGTTTAGTCTCTGCCCGGAACTCACCATTTTGCAAACTCTTCTGCCGGAAGAGCTTTTCCGTTGTGCAGTGCTCGTATTTGGCAAGATCGTATTATTGAAGATATCTTAATAAATGCTACATTATTGCTATATAGTAACTAAAGCAGAAGACTTTAGAATTTCAAGGCACTTCATGACAGTTTGGTCAGGGTGAACTTTAAAGAAAATGAGGTCACCACAAACCTTTAGTGTGAATACATCACTAGATGCTGATAATGATATTATATTCTGCATTATATCTGCATACCCTGCCCCTGCTTTTTTTCTAGCAACCGCATATACGTTTGTACATACACCATACACTTACACATGTTACATGTACATTTACATATATTTTTGTATTCTTGTGTGCATACACATGGGGGCATATACTCCACACATTACATATACACATGCACACATTTTACACACTATATGTATAGTGTGCATACACACAGACATGTTCACATATTGACATATAAAGTAAAATTTTCTTACAGTGAATTGTTAATTGTCTTTGATTTCTTTCTGCAAATCTATGTGGTCTCATATCACCTTCATTAGTAGATATATAATGAATTAACCATTGAAGCATATAATAGCCTGTATATATCTTCAGTAAATAAATCATTTGTGCTCTATCAGGTCTTGTTTTCACAGAACAAAGCTATGAGGAAGAGATGGTGGCCAAAATAAAGTTTACCAGGAAACACATAGAAGAAGAATATGACGTTTTAATTAGAGCTTTTAAGGTATGTATCAGTAATTTACAGGGTCAGATTTCAGCTCTTATCATGTTCAGTTTTGATTTGTAGTTTTTTTTTCAAAATTGGTTCATCTGGTAAAGTTGGGCAGTGTTAACACAAAATTACCACTTGATGATTTATATTTACACCCAGAAGCAAAAACTCAGTATTTTAAGGATGTATCTTATATTCATAGATGTCATATTCACATGGTGCAGGGTTCATAGTAGCACTTGAAAACTGCAATAACCCTTGAATGACAGTTGTGAATTCGCTCTTGAACAGGACAATTGCCCCTGAAATTTGCCAACCATAGTGAGAGAATCAGAAGTAAAGTGAACTATCATTGGAAGACGTGTGATTTTTGGCAGTTATGCTATATTCAGTTTTTGGCTACTTTCACAGTTGTCTCTGGTAAGCAGTGAGGATGGCAGTTGATCGATCGCCTATTCATTCATCGTTTTCAGTGTTCGCTTTGCAGGGTGTCATGTGGAGAGACTTCATCACGTATAGTACTAGTTCTACAGCTTACATTTACATCACACCTGGATGACGTTTTCAGCTGAAATGGGTAGATTTGCCTGCCAACTGCCAATTACTGCCTTTACTTTACCACTTTTGTGGTGGTGGGGGGGGGGGGGGAGGTGTTTGAGCCTGAGGATTTAAGGCCGCATAGCTAGTGCTGTCGCCATGACTGTGCAGGTGAGGATTTTATTTTGCCCCCAACAGAAAAAATTTCCTCAGCCTTACCGAGGATTTGAACCCGGGTCTCCAGCTTGAGAGTCCAGCAATCTAACTGTTCGGCCAGCCGCTTCTCAGGTAGATTTGCCTGACTGAAAATTGGATAGCTGTTGGGAGTAGCGAAACCATGTAAAATAAGAAAGACATAGACTTGACGAGTTCCTGTTGTGTGAGTTTTGTGGTAGGCAAGCATGGGCCCCATATACACACACACACACACACACACACACACCATTTTTCTCAAACTTTGTAACTGGCATTGTAGAAATTTACAAACTGGCCAGACTATAAATTGACATGTAAAGTGTCAGTAATTTACCTAATAACAGTCTTAATGAAACAGTGGCACACATCAGCTGTTTAGGAGCATAAAATGAGCAAAAATATCTATATGCATATTCTGGACCGGCATCCTTTTGTTCCATTTGATATAAATTTCACCACAGGTCAGTTTGTAAAGTTATAGACAAAACTACCATTTTGGTTTCAAAAAATGTATCCGGTGTGAGTGGTATGAACAGCTTTGTTTAATGTATTTATTTGCACTCTAGGGTTTCCAAGCCAAACAGATGTGCTTGTTAAAACAAGAGCAGCAAGAAGACCTCAATAAGCAGGATGAAACTGAGTGTGAGCCAGGTAATCTCATTATAGAACTGTCGTTTTACTGACGCATGTGGCCGGTTACTGGCATTTTACTGATAAATATTACTTGACATTGACATTTTACTGATAGGCATTGCCTGACACTGGCATTTTACTGCTAGACACTGCTTGTCTCTGACACTTTATTGATATATGAAACTGCAGTCATCTGGCTGAAAATTGGGTCTTGACTTACAAATCATTGAAGTGATTGATTGAATCATCTGAAGTGCTGATTGTTATTTTGAATATATTGCATTGATCATTGTAGAATATATAAATGGTAAAATTTATCAAAGGTGTGATCTGTTCTGTCAGGTCTTTCTAATGATGAAAACTATGAGTCGATGGTGTTTCAAATAAAATTCATCAGGAAACAGCTACAAGGAGAATATGACACTTTGATTGAAGCTTTTGAGGTATGTATCCCTAATTACAACCTGGTGAGATAAAGAGAGCAGGTTTGCTGACATATACATGTTTTACAAATTTGTATAACGTGGCACCGAGTCAGCCTTTATTTTGTTGACCTTCTAGCTTGTTGTGCACTGTGGGTGGTGGGCCAGTACATAATATCAAGACTCACAGGTATCCTTAGAGACACACTGAAAGGACGAACATAACTTGCAGTCCTCAATGACAAGGACTCCATTGTTTATCTGACAGTTGTTCTTCTGTAACGGTATAGCCACTCAGCCTATCTCAAGTCTCTAATGAAATGTTTACAAGTCTGCTGACCAAACTGTAAATAAATGTGATGTACTTTGTCTGAATCTGGTTCGCTGTAAACATACAGTTGGTCCTTATAACAGAGCTGGTAAACATCTGTTTCCTTCACACATGCAGCTGTTGTTCCATCTTTCCTCTACAGCTCAGTCCATTCAGTCTAGTTCTCAGCACACACTAACACAGATTATGGTCACTCGAGGAAACAGTGCTTTATTAATATCCTACCATAAATAGGGGAAATACACAGGTCACGGGACAGTCTAATAATTCAGGGAGTGGTAGATAGGCTGCATGCAGTCATGGGACCTAGGCTGCATGCATTCATGGGACCTAGGCTGCACTCACTCGTGGGACGTAGGTGGGTTGGGGTTAGGGCCAGTTCTAGATGTTTTGGGGTCATTAAAAGCATCTGAAAGCATGGAAACCTAGTCTTACCACCCTCTAAAATGGTGGACTGTCCTGTGACGTCATCTGGGTTAAGATATTAATAAAGAACTGAGGAAACACTAAAATAACAAAACAAAAAAGACTCCTCAGTCTCGCTTTCTCTGATGAAAGGTCTCCCAAACATTAGTGCCTTGAAACCCCTGTCAATCCATGGAGTACTTTTAGCCTTCTCAGTCACATTCTACTTTTACCTCAGACTGGTTTTCCTTTAGCAATAATCTCTACAATTGCCTCATTACAAATGTATTTTGTCATGGTGTATATACAATAAGATGGTATTTGATATTTTAAAAATAATTTTCCATATAACGTAATCATGTTTGGGGATCAAGGATCAAAATTTTTGTTAAAATCACATGCCCAGACTTAATGTTATCAATAATTGTTCTTATAGGGTCAAATTTAAGATTCTCAGTATTAAATGTTTGAATTTCTAACAAAGTAATGCACAATTTAAGCCTCGCATTATAACATATTTGATAGAAACTTTTTGAAAATGGCAGAATGTGTGATTGTTAGCTAATTGCCAAAATGTATGATTTACCTTCTGCAAATTCACACAGATTTTGGCCGCATTGTCTTATACCACATAACTGATACACCCCACCCTGCCCACACATTGTGTTTACTTGTTATGGCCACAAAATTCCTTGCATTTTAACTCCCAAAAGTCCTAGATGTTTTGCATTTATTCTCAAGAGGTGCGATGACCATTATAAACAGAAGCAAGTACATACATCTTATTAGGCAAGTAGTTATACAGGAAGACAGATTTTCATTAGCATTTTCTGACCAAATGTGAACAGTCAAAGAATACAATGTGTAGTTGTTGGGATTCGGTAAAGAGAGCCACTGACATATCATGTGTTGCTTGGGATTCAAAGAGTTAATGGATGTTAACAAGACTGCAAAAGGAAGAAACACTTTAACAAATATTACACCCGTGAACCTATGCATAAAAAAGTAATTTGTTCTTATACATTGTCACTAAATGTTGGCCTTTTGTGTTTTTAAAACTTTGGGGGGTGGGTTGACACAGGAAGCTTGTTTGTGGCTTTAGAAGATGTAATTTTATTCTAAATTCATATCTTTTTTGTTTTCTTTTTTTGCTCCCACCAGCATTTGCACGCCAAGGCCTGTTTGTTAGATCAACGGATGTTTATACTAGTAAAGCCAGAAGACACCAAGAAGCAGTGGCGTAATAAGTCTGAGAGAGGTAACACTTGTTCTGAACTGTTATAATGTAATGGCAGACATACTTGACACCTAACTGAGAAAGACTGGCCTTGAACTGCCTGGTAGCTGACACACTAGGATACAGCAGAGGTGGCCAACATTTCTTAGGCTCGCAGGCTATTTTAATTTCACCATCCACAGGCAGTTGACTTTATAGACTATAGAGATTAATAAAGAGTACCCAAAATGGGGAAACAAAGGCTGTAATCATGGAAATAAGTATGCAGATTTCATAGGCATTCAAGAAATATATTGCAGTTAAAAATGAACAACATTACATTTACTTTTCAAGAGAGAGTTTACTTACTTCCACTTAGTTGACGCTGCATTCTGTTGAGTTTATTATGCTGCAAATTATATGCTGCAACTGCTAAACTCAAGCAGGAAATCAAATTACCATCAGTTATTAAGTTCCTACCCTTAAATTTTATTGCATTTATTGTAGAGACGCTCATTCACTTATACGTGTAGATCCAAAAAATACGCTTAGTGCAACAAAGCCTGGCATATGATATCACAACGTCTAGTTTGAGAATGGAGGTGGAGGCAGTCACTGCTGCCTTCCACCTTCTGCCGTGATTGTAACTGATTCACAGAGCATGTTGAGAAAGGTGAAGACAGGCATGCTTCGTGCAGAGTGACAAGCATCACTTCAGAGGCCCCTGGTAGTTAGCATCCTTTGGATATTTTCTCCAGGTGATGCCGATGTGTTGGGAAATGAGCAGGCAGATAGACTGGCTGACTCTGCACCACTTGGTGGTGAATTGATGTATGACAAGCTAGATATTGTGAGGGGCTTTTGAGAAAAGGTGAACAGTGAGGATGCATGGATAGATCATTGTGGTCTGAAGAGAATGGGCCCGCAAGGAATTACTAGGGAATATTGTCGATGCTCAGCACTCAAGGGAAGGCTGAGACGGATATACAATCAGACAGTTACTGGTGCCATTGGGATTGGAACTCTTTGTTTGCTGCTAAAGATGGGGATGGAGCGCTTATGAGGGTGTCCCGAGTGCTGAGATGTCGATTCTTCATTCAACATTCAATCCGAAAAATGCCACCTTTCAAATATTTGGATAGGGTTCTTTTGACAGTCGTTTCCAGACCTCAGGAGCATAGTGCAGTAGTACCTCAGTATACATCGCATTGGTATATGATTAACTTGGTATACGACCTTTTACAAGTCAAAATTAGTCACGCCACCGCATGCTGTCTTTGTTTACCTTTGTCGAGACAAAGCCACGAATAAATGTCAATGACTTTGCTGAGATGTATAGCTCCCTGCAAAGACCAAACAAGCCATAATAGCATTTTCCGGAATGGCTGAGATGTTTTTGTGTGCCCTGTTCGTATGCGTTTGTAGTATTTCTGCTTGTTGTTTATCAGTGGCAACAATAAGAATATCTAGATAACATTTGTAACACACCAAGTTATCAGTGTCTCACTGTCCCTACAACATGAATGTAACAACACAATCGCCTTTTTAGACGTCCTGATCAGACAAAGGGAAGATGGCACCATCCAACGATTAGTGTGCAGGAAAGATATTTGGACAGGCCAGTACATGAACTTTAATAGTTTTACACACATCCAGTACAAACGTGGCCTAGTACGAACATTATTCAACCACGATAGAAAGATTTGCTCAAATGATACGCTGCAGTCTGAACTAGAAACCCTAAAACAAACAGTATTGAATGGATACCCAGTGGTTTTATTAAGCGCCACTGCCAACCTCCTTAACCAACTACTACAGAAACGTCAGTCCCCAAACAGCAAGTCTACATACATCTAACCCATCGAGGGGATGGCGTTATGAAACCGCTATACGACCGGCTTAAAACAACAGTCAGCCAAACTTTCTACGCCGCTTTGCCAATTATCAGGTTTAAAACTACCCCCTTGCCAACGCCCTTGTTGTAACAACCACTATCGACGTACGCCAAATCAAATTGCATACGCCAAATCAACTTGCATCTACCAATTTAAATGTAGCGGTGAAGCTGCTTATGTGGGCAGAACTGATCGACGCATGGAGAAACGAGTCGCTGAGCACATTCCAGTATGGGTGGAAAAGCCATGCAAAAATAATATTCAGAATGAGAATACTGGCCGCAAAGTTCATCCCTCTGCAAAAGCACACCATCTTCTAAAATCTGCACACGTGACTAAAAATAATGCATTTCAAATTCTTCATACGTCAACCAATGGCAGAACGCTAAGATTTCTCGAAGCCTCTGCAATTCGTTCCCTCGCCCAGAACTCTGTATTCAGAAAGAGATGGTTCTTTCTTTACAGCTGCCCTGGTAAAAACAGGCAGTCATGTTTGATCATTGTTGAAATTGTACTTCATTTATAAAGGATTCACTTATTTTGCTTCATTTATGTAAATGTTACTGTAGTGTTCACCTGACAAGATACAGCGAAATATGCAAGGCAATAAATTGTGCAGTCTGTTGTTTGTGTCTTCATTGTTCAAATTTACAATGGGAAAACATTGCTTTGAATGTAAAATATGCCAGTAACAATAGGATTTGTTGTCATGGAATGAATTAGGCATTCTCCTTTTTTTGAATGGGAAAATCCATTTGGCATGTCGAGTAACCATAAAAAAAACACTTCTTTTCTGATGCCCTCATTACTCTTGCCGTATGTTTGCTCGGTGCTTCATTCTTCTCTAGAATCACCTCCATAGTCTTTGAAAATTGTTACCACAAATGTGTTGATTTTCACACGTCAGTTTGCCATGTTGTAATCTCTTCAAAGCTATAAGTTAATTATTACAAATATATTGCATTATTAACAGTCACCTGTCCATAACACTGTCTAAATCAATAAAATTGATCGCGTGGGCAACTGCTGATGTGTTGGCGACTTCTGCTACCATCAATGATGAACTGCAATTCTAATACTGTGATAAACATTCTGTGTGTTTTTCGTTGGCACAGGAGCAGAGCAAAGATGGGGTGACCCGTTTGCTATGAAGCTGAAACTATGACTACCAGAC